CCCCCCCCCCCCCCCCCCCCCCCCCAGGCCAACAATGCTCTCCGCACACTGTGCCTGGCGCACATGGACTACGCCTCCACAAGCGAGCTCGACGAGGGCTACGAGATCGACAGCCCTGACGCGGACACGATGGTGCTCGACGCTGTGGTGGGCATCATGGATCCTCTCCGCGGCGATGTGACGGAGGCCGTAGCGACCGCTCAGAGTGCCGGTGTGATGGTGAGTGGGGTCGGGGGGAGTGGACGGTGATCTAAGCAGTAGCTGTACGGAGCGGCGGGGGGGACGGTTGGGCGTACTCATGTTTATGTGTTCGTCTTTTGGTTGGTAGACCAGTGACCAGGCATGGAGGGAGGGGAGGAGGGAGGATTTACTCGTTTTGCATGCCTTCAGTTGCCATTTAATTTAGACCATTGGCCAGGGAAGTGGGTCTTGGGGTGTCGGGTGGGGTGAGGGAGATGCGCTTGAGGGGGATTTCAGCAAAACGCTGGGATCGTCTGTGTATGTTCGTGGCGTGTGTGCTAGAGCTGCATGACGGCGAGATTTGGTGTTTCCGGCGTTGATTTTATCCGTTCATTTCTGCGGAACACTCAGTAGTTAAGAAAGCAGCATGTGTGTGTGTTCGTTCCATTTACCCACGAGACACTACTCGTTTCCGGTGCAAATTGCAGGCAAAGAAACCCTCCAGAGAGAGAGAGAGAGAGAATCGAAACCCACCGCTCTTCAGCCGGCTTGCCAGAGGTTAACCACTAGACACCGGGGCGACCAAAAGTAGGGTTCAATGACAGTCGGCGGCGAGCCCGGAATCCGACTTGTAAGACATTTCATGGAGACACTCACGGACACAAGCCTTCCTTACCGTTGACCCACAGGTGCGAATGGTGACGGGCGACAACATCAACACCGCCAAGGCCATCGCTAAGGAGTGCGGGATTTACGACCCTGACTACGGGGTCGCCCTCGAGGGACCCGACTTCCGGGCCATGTTTCCGGCACAGGTGTGTGTGTGGGGGGGGGGGGGGGATTAGACGATAGTACATGGGTGTCCTGAGGACCGAACGCCAGCGATACACCCACTGGCAAGCTTATACCAGTGGCGAGTTGAGGTTCATACCGATCGCGCCATGACAAAGGGTCCCCGGTGCTTGCCCTGCTGTCCATGCCAAACGAGCTCGCCGGCGTCCACACGAAACATGGGGATTGACGTTTTACAAAACACGAGGGTCCCCGTTTTTGTGGGTCAGGGTAGAGAAACGAAGATCTACCCCACCCTCACTGCAAAGACTGGCAATGCATTGCGTGTGACTGTGGTCTTATCTCGAAGGGGTAATGAACGAGTGATTGTTATCATACACTTTTCGAAGAAGCAAGGCACGAAAATCACAGCAGTGTTGTGTTGTGGCACAGTTGTTGGTGGTGGTTTCAGCTCGGAGGCAAGCCGAGAGTCCCCCCGGCTGTGGGCGACACATTGTAGATGGGATGGCTTTTCCCCAAGCACTAAA